CTAGGTACCTCTTACACTTCGTCATCTTGCTTGTTTTACTCGCTGAAACTTGTGTCTACTTTCCGATTCTCTTATTCCTTTTTTCCATACGAGTGGATATATATTCTTGCCTTATGACTCCTTATCAAGAAGCTTACACATCTTAATACACACATGATCAGTTGAAGACCCCACATTTGCTCGTCATAAGCATGATGCAAAATCGAGTTCCTCTGACTCAACTCTTCCACAACCACATTCAATCTCATACCAACTATCTATTTGGATGAGGTATCGTTGTATTAAGAATACAATAGAATTTAGAAGTTTGAATTCTTACAATTGAGCTCTACAATACGATCTAGAGTAAGAAGAAAGAGTGATAGTCCTAAATGCCTTGTAGCCTCTTGCTTATAAGTGTGGTGCACAACACACCCATAAACAAGATTCTACTAGACACGACTTGTAGACTCCCTAGGACAGAACTGGTCTGATACCACTTCTGTCACGACCCAAATCGAAGGGCAACGACGGGCACCCAGTGCCTTACTCAACCGAGTACCAGCATAACATATCTTTCTTATTATACTATCTTGAGTAAATGAGCCAGAAACCCATCATGAGATAACAAGAATAAAACGTAAGGGAATACTTAACATATGACGACCCAACATGATATACAAACTTATACATGTGACATACGGGCCTACAAGGCCGGCATGACCATTTGTAAACTCAACACATAGGCCAACAAGACTATACAAGTATCCATAAACCTGACATCTATCTACAAGTCTCTAAGAGTACATAAAATCATAAAGGTCGGGACATGGCCCTGCCATACCAATCAATACATATCCAAAGCATACTGACCAAATAGGAAACTCCGGAGCAAGTGGAGTGCACCAACACCTCCGCTGAGCTGATAGCCTACTCGGAGGAATGTCATCCTATCAATTGGGACCTGCGGGCATGAAACGCAGTGTCCCCAGGCAAAAGGGACGTCAGTACAAATAAAGTACCGAGTATGTAAAGCAGGAAAGCATAAACAATAACAGTAATATAAAGAGAGATAGAGGAGATACAACCTGTAATATCTGCGTGCCTCTGGGGGCTACTGACATGAAATGCATAATACATATATATACATAAACTTTTAAAGACATACGCCTCTGTAGGCATCATCATCATCATCATCATATCATTCCCGACCTCAAAGAGGGCTCAATAAAAATGTACCCGACCATCATAAGGCTTAATAGAATCGTACCTGGCCACGTGGAGCTCGGTAAATCCAACTGATCAGTGGTTGCATAATAGGTGTCGTACCCGGCCTACTATAGCGCGACTCAGTAGAGTAAAATAGATGCTATATATAATGCATGTTAGACTCATGGAATCACGTTCTAAATTTTTTGGAGTGACTTAAGGTCGTTGCACCTTCGATTTACATTATGGATATCATACCATCAATATGAGCTTCTATAGGATTCAAGGATCATACATACTTGCTTAGAATAACTTTATAAGGAAAGAACAACATGGGCAACCTTAGTTTCTAGGAGTAGATCCGTTATGAAATAGCGTATTCATTTCACTTTAGATCATGCCAAAAGAAAGAGAGAAGTGCCTTAACATACCTTAACCACGTTGAGTCCTTAATACCTCCCAAGCAACTCTTCAAACAACTCAATTCAATCTAACACTGCATAAGGAGATTCAAAATCAATATTGAGTAAAGGCTAAGTCTGCAACATAAACTTGTAGCTCGTTTATATAAATTCGGGCATTATCTCCCTTGTAACACGAGCCTACACCAATACCATATACCAACAACAATTACTAGAGAAATCTAGCAATACATAATTATTAATAACAAGACACCATAAAACAACAACAAGTCACAACTATTTTACGACGAGCGACAAGCTCCAATTGGAATTCGTATACCCCATATCATCCCTTATAGAATTTTTACTCTAACTTAATAGTATCATTAACATGATAATGAAGTCATTCATCAATAATTCCATCCTTATACCATATATCCATAACAAAGAAAATGATCCACAACTCCAATTATTTTTAATTAACAACTTTATACTCTAGTTCATGTCTAGTTCATCCATTTAACTTAACCAATGCCAAGATAACCTTAAGAGCTTGTAGGAACACATTATAATTACCTCCTACAGTGGATGCAAGTCGAAATCCATGTTATATTTAGATTACAACAGCCCAACACACCCCAATCAATTCATACCAAAAACGACGACTATAGTAGTGTCCAACACCCCGAAAATATTACAAAGAATGACTAATCCATCATTTTGACATTACGTGGTGTTTCTCCACACCATTTATCCTCCAAAAATTCCATTAAATAGCAGAAAAATATACAGTCCAAGAGCTACACGAAACATCCCAAAAATAGCCCACAACAAGGCGAATAATTCGAACTCACGGCTTCCGATCACCGTCCCGTGAGTTCTAGCTATTACGAAATGTATTTATCAACCTTCCTTCATATTTGAAAGCTTAAATAAAGAAATAAGGCATTTTCTTAGATATTAAATATCTTCCAAAACTCAAACTACAAAGAAAAAGAGAGGCATTATAGCGATACTTACGTCGTAGGGATCGTTTTAATGTTATCGCTACTTGATTTCGTGCCCCGGATAATAATCTTATTGGAAACCCTTGTGGAGAGCTTGAGGGGAAGGTTAGGGGTGTTATTTGGTCGTGCTCTCCGGAAAAATGGGGAAAAAGACGAGATAAGGGATGTAAATATCCCATTTTGTTGAAAAGTCAAACAGGTGCTACTTGGCACCATCTCATTGGCCCTTTTTCAAACGCTTATATCTTTTCATTCGGATGTCGTATGAGCGAAAAATTAAGAGCGTTGGAAACTACATTCCAAGACCTTCAATTTGGTATATAATATGTCCAAAAAAGATTTCATATAGTACACGAAATTTATTACTCAAAAAGCTCCATTACAAGGCAAATTTTTAGTCGGTTTTTCCGCAACTTAAATCCGATTTTTCTTAAACTTTATACTTCATATACAAACACATATATAGTCATATCATGGTTTTAAACTCATTTAAATCATGATTAACAAGTCTCATATTTATCTTAACTTGCTTAACACTTCGGCAAACCTTTCTTTTCCTTGTAGAAGGATTTCATCCTTTTTGAGCTTACATCAATTGACTCACGTTGTAAAACATGGGTTGTAACAAAAACCTAATCAATAGATTTTTTTTTTTTGAAAAATTTGTAAATGAATCAATTAGTCATACTAAAGTAAGAATAAATAAATTAAAGAGCCAATCTCATCTGTACTATTTAAAACCACTTTATTATCATGTAAAAGAAAAATATTCATATAAATTTGCCCCTATTTTTTATCCTTTAAAATTAGATTTTATATTTTAAAAAATTATCATTTAATTGTTTTTTTGTTATTTAATATTTTAAAAAATAACTCAATTTATTTGAATTAGGTAGTAGCTCCTAATATTTAGGTAAAAGATACTAACTTAATTTAGTTTTAGCTTTATGTGAAATAAACAAAAAATTAAGACTTTAAAGGATAGTAAGAATTTTCAACTCTGTAAAATGTTATAGATATTTTCAGAATGTAGTCCTAACATTTTCTTTTAGTACGTGCGTATATTTTAGTACATTCCTTATTATAAAAGAAGTGTAATTAAGAATAACGATTCTTTGAAAGAAAATTATGGACACACTTTTTTAATTCAAATAGGACCAACGTTGTAGGATCGGGTATATGTATAGTTTAATCGAAAAAGAATTCTATCATTAGATAATTTACCATTAGATCCTTAAATTATACAAATATTTAATGGCATAAAAGTCGATCAATATTCGGGGATATTTTAGTCGTTTAAAATTTAGCATAAATTATTCGTGCTTTTATAATAATATAGATATAGATAGATAGATAATATAGTATAGATAGATATAGATATATAGATTATTTGATGTTCTTAGACCATTTGTGTCTAGCTGCGTATATATTCAATTGTTATTTATTTTAAGGGTAAACAATTAGATTTGTAATTAAATTTCTAATACAATGCATGATGTAAGCAAAAGTTATTGAGTTGGTGACCCAAACTTAATATTGTAGTTTCGCCCTTATTTGGATCTAGCAATTCTTTCCTTGCTTTCTCCATTCCCACCATATTGTACAACCTTCCTTGTCTGCAGGAACATTCTCTTCTCATTCATGGCTTGTACCTTTTACATTTCTTTCACTGGCCTACCTCTAAACCACGAAGACCATTCACCCTCTCCTGACCCCCACTCCTTGTGCATGTAATGTTGAAAAGTAGCCATCAAATGTACAAACTTTCTACTTAATGAGCAAACCAAGGACAAGTCTGCTGCTATTCATATGATCAAGACTTTGTTTAAGTAGTTGCCTCTCCTCAAAGTAATAACCCCAGCCCAACCCCTACTATCCCCCACCCCCACTTACTTCTACTCTTTAAGAACTTAAATTCCCTACCAATTTAGAGGCGGAACTAGAGTATAGAGAGTGAGTTCAATTGAAAATATTATTTTTAGTCAAAGCATAGATATCGGTGCGTTAAGCAGCGTGAAGGAGACCGAACCTCCTTTGCTGAAAAATTATACTATATAAATAGGATAAATATGATTTTTTGGTTATATTGAAATGTTAAATCTCCTTGACATGAAAAAAATTCAAGTACTATAGTGAAGGGGGTTCTAAAGTTGCTTTAAGACAGGTTTAAATCCCAAGTGTGGCTCCTAAAAGTTTTTTGAATCCCTTGTGTAAATTTTTGGTTCCACCATTATGTATATACGCACACATGTATTTGTGCCTGAGCACGTGAAAAATATTAGGACAAATTTAAGTTTTAAACTCCTATTTTTAAAAACTCAAAACTTAAAGTTATTACGTTTACACCTCTATTTCCCTGCACTTACTAGTTACCACTCTTCAAAGACCATAGCATTTACACCTCTCAATCTCATCCAACTCCTTATTACCCCCAGTGTCTATGTAATTAATATAATGTCCCCACTGTTATCAAAGTGCCTATCTTAGCTTTATTCTGTTTGATAGTTTTAAGTGACAGTACAATGAGATTTTTTCAGTCACAATTCACAACTGACAATGCACTCTTCACTATTCAGCCTCATTCTAATCTTCACCTTCTTCCTTTTCACCTTCTCTACTACTGCCACTGCCACTACTATCCACTACCATCGCCGGCTTCTCCACCAACCGCTTTTCCCCTTTCATCGTCCTCTCGCGCCAACTTCAATTCCATCCATTAACACTAAACCTCCATTTCCTTCTCCTCAGTTTGATTATCCATTTTTCACGCCTTTTCCTCCTCCTCCAATAACTTCTAAAGATCTTGCCACTTTCCCTGCTAACATTTCCTCTCTCATTCTACCACACTCCTCGCGTTCCTCTAAAAGTTCCATCACCAGCAAATTCATTGCCATTCTCGTCTCTGTCTCACTCCTCTCTGTTGCATTCGTCACTGCTCTTGTCCTCTTTTTCTTCCTTCATCGCCACCCTCACCGCGAAGACAAAAGCTATGATCACGAGAGAAGTGATAGTCGTCGCCTTGTTTCACCTAATGCAACCCCCTCTCATGTAGAATTTGGCAGTACACATTATCTTTACACACTTGAGAATTCTAGAAAAATCAATGAAGATGGTGCTCAATCTTCCACAGCAACAAATGACTGTGTTACACTACACTTCCAAATGTTAAGATCACCAGAACTCCACCCTCTCCCTCCATTGCCACGTCAAAATTTCAAACAAAATCATAAAAATGCTGATTCGGCAGGATCACCTGAATATGCCGAGGAGCAAGAATTCTTCTCCCCCGGAGGATCATCTGGGGATATAGGTAGTTCCAATTTCTTTGAAAAGAGTCCCTATGCATATTTTGAAGGTTATTTCCATAACCTGAATGCATATCCGAATTCCAATTCTTCAAATGATTCATTATCCTATAGTCCTTCTGGAAAATCGAATTTGAGGTTTATTCTTCCACCAGTGGAACAAGGATCATTGTCATCGTCTTCGTTATCTTCTGGCAGTACTCGAATCTCCCCTCCTTGTGTTTCAAATTTCTCAGTCCAAATTCCAGAGTCTTCTATGAGGAAATTCAGCAATTCAGGGAGGTATGTATCGATAAAACTGCCACCTCCACCACCACTACCACCTAGGCCAAGGTTCTGTGAAGGTTCAACAGTCACAGAACCTCTAGTAGTCGAAAATTGTGAGCGATCAGTGCCAGTTTTAATCAAGAAAGCTACTGGAAATTCTGAAAGTTCAGAAGCTGTTGAAAGGAGGAATGAAGAAAATATGAAGCCAAAGCTCAAGCCTTTGCATTGGGATAAAGTCAGGGCCAGTTCAGATAGAGCAATGGTTTGGGATCAACTGAATTCTAGCACTTTCCAGTAAGATTTACATCATTCGAAGTACTTAATCCGAGCTATATACTTGCCTAATTTTGAAGTGTGGTTGTGGTTGTAGGTTAAATGAGGAAATGATTCAAACATTATTCACTGTAAATTCTTCAAATTTGAATTCAAAAGATGTCGTAAGGCGCCCAATGATCCCAGTAATGAATCAAGAGAATCAGGTGCTTGATTTGAAGAAGTCTCAGAATATTGCAATTTTGTTGAGGGCAATTCAGATCACTAGTGATGAAGTTTGTGAAGCACTTTTAGAAGGTAAATAAATAGATTTTTGCTTTTAGACATACTCAGAAATGTTCCCAAATTAGTAATTTGAGACGCCTTTTGTATTGCACTTAATCAGATAGCTTATTCAGATTATGATAACTTGTTAATGAAATGAAAATCCAAGCCTTTTTATGGTATTTTCCCAGAAGGAAGGAACATGATTTTGTGGTCCTATATTCTGCCTTTGGTGGTTTCACATTCTAGTTTTTAAATGAAGGAAAAGCAAATTTGGCATTATAACGTGGTGACATTTAATTCTGGTTCTATCAAGTGATGTGGCCATCATTCATGTATTGAGACACAGCTACTATTTCATTGGGATGTCACTTTCAAGTTTATGAATGAACTTTGATGTTCATCTGATCTGGTTCTACATCTTTACTTATAATAAAAAGAAAATTATTATAAAAACATGTGACCGCGCACCATGCAATACGCCACAGGTGCATTAGTGCACGGACATAGGCACATGGTGCATGGTGCACAGGCAATGGTGCAGTGTCAATGACACAAACGACCTTGAAAAGAGCAGGTCTTGAACTTTTGACTTTTGGGATAGGCCATCTGGCCAATGGGCAAAACTTGACTTTTGACCTTGAAGGTTTGCCCGTTGATCAGGTGACCTGCCCCGAAGATCAAAAATTCAAGACCACCCCTTATTTCTTCCATTTCTGACAGGTGCACCGCTGCAACATGCGTGTGCATTTCCATATGTAATGATCTTTAAATTAAGTGGATTTTGCATTAGGGAACTACTTATGAATCTTCTTTGTAATAAAACAAAAACCAGGTGACGCAGACACACTGGGAGCGGAGCTACTGGAGAGTCTAATAAAGATGGCTCCTACAAAAGAAGAAGAGCGGAAGCTGAAGGTTTTCAAAGATGAATCATCATTCAAACTAGGCCCTGCTGAGAAATTTCTCAAGGGAGTTCTTGATATACCTTTTGCATTCAAGAGGGTGGATGCAATGCTTTACATGTGTTGTTTTGATTCAGACTTTGAATACCTTAGGACATCATTTCAGACGCTAGAGGTATGGGATTGCTTTTGCCATTATTCCTGTATGTAAATGCAGCAATTCTGCTGATATGATGTGTGCATTGGCACACAAGTCTAGTTATCAACAGATTGGTATCTCAAATCTTTCATTCAACTTTTATATATCTGTCCCATTACTATCTGAAGTAACTAAAGTCTAAAAGTTTGACAATGGTTCATAGACATGGCCATTCTAGTAGGGGCGGATGTAGCATATGAATATTGGGTTCATCTGAACCCGGTACTTTCAACGTCGAGCGTAAATTTATGTGTAAAAATTGATTAAAATTACAATGAATAGTAGATATGAACCCATAAAGTTTAAATCCTGGATGCGTCTGCATTCTAGACCTCATTTAAGCCAAAGCAAAGATGATAAAAGCTGATCATATAACCTTGGAATCCAATTTATGCAGTTAAAAACACCATTCCCTAAAAGCCTTTTATCTCTAACATTCAATGTGCCATTGCAGACTGCATGTGAAGAACTAAGGAATAGTAGGATATTCTTAAAGCTTCTAGAAGCTGTACTCAGAACTGGTAACCGCATGAACGTTGGAACGAACAGAGGAGATGCTCGTGCCTTCAAGCTCGACACGCTTCTTAAGCTTGTAGATATTAAAGGTGCTGATGGGAAGACAACCCTTTTGCATTTTGTTCTTCATGAAACTATTCGAGCAGAAGGTTCTCATCTTTCTGTTGCTGATCTAAATCCAAATGTTGAAAAGAATCAGCAATCTGTCGTTTGCGATAAGGCTGAGTTTAAAAAAAATTTCCTTGAGGTTTTTTCTGGCTTGAGCCATGAGCTTGCCAATGTGAAGAAAGCAGCTGTTATGGAGACTGATATTCTTAGCAATGAAGTTGCAAAACTAGCAACTGGAGTTACAAAAATTACTGATGTCCTAAAGCTGAATGAAGAGTTGGTTTTGAGTGAAAGTAGCAGAAAGTTTTTCGAGTCGATGAATGGATATTTGAAGAAGGCACAGGAAGAAATTATCAATATACAAGCTCAAGAGGATGTTGCTTTATCCATGGTAAAGGAGCTAACAGAATATTTCTATGGTGATTCGGCCAAGGAAGAAGCTCGACCGATCAGGATATTTATGGTAGTTAGGGACTTCCTCTCTATCCTTGATCAAGTGTGCAAAGATTTGAGCAAATAACACAGAGAACATTGCTAGTAAATACTGGCCTTTCCATTGCTAGATGGTCAAAGCAATTAGATATGCCTGTTTGATGTCCCTTGTGGATTTTCTTCTTCTATTTTGTACTTTATATATCATATCCAGGTAAATCCTCATCCGTGTATGTATTTTTATGTGTTATACTGAGAAAGTGGAAGAATATCATTGATTAACATTATGATGTTATAGTTTATGGATGGTTGAAGTTAGTGTTGATTTTGGCAAATCCCACATCGGTGGGTTAGCCATTTGGTAGGGATATTTTTCCTATAAAAGGAGG